AGGAATCTGACACTGCACTGTTGCCCTTCTGTTGTCTTGTACCAGTCTTGCCACTCTCTGTTCTGCCCTAACATTGACTAGTCGCTGACGACCACAATTCGCATGTTCAGACCCAGATTTTCGGCTGACAGTCCAGTCTTTAAACACTTTAACAACAGCTGCCTACAAACGTCAGGTGTGGCGATGTCCCGATACCGATGCTAGCATCGGAATCGGGCCCGATACAAGGCATTTTGACAAGTACTTGTACTTGTCAAAATGCCCAGATGCCTAGCGCCGAAGCTTGCACTGTTCTTTTTCTTGCTTACCTCGCTGAGCGTCGCGTCACTGCTGCTCTGGTGGGCGGAGCTCCAAGTAAAATGAGAATATTACATGCAATCAATAAAACAAGGATTGTACATAGAACAATATCGGACCTCTGAAAAGTACAAGCATGCATATGTACTCAGTACTTGGTTTGGGCCCCTTTTGCAGCAATTACTGCCATTACTTTTGCACGATATTCTAATTATTCGAGTTTCACCTGTATGTACTATGGATCATAATTTAACCTAATTGTAATTCTATTACTGCAGTGTACAGGACATATGTACTGCGGATCATGATTTAACCCATTCATGTTAGCAGGGCAGAATTGTGAGCGCCTCCCACAAGCTGAGCACCGAGATGCGATGCAGCGATCCTGTCCAGCGCCGACTACGAGAGGCACCGCTTGATGCAACCGGGATCGGCTTGAAACTGTGAGTGAGGGAAGCTGGGACGGGGCTGGCTGTAAATCTATTGCTATAGTGTACTGGACGTGTGTAATGTATATGTAGTACATATATACAGCACATACCTCCACTACACTGAAATAGTGGCATCGGGACATCCCTAGTCAGGTGGTCATAATAATCTGGCCACTCAGTGTATATCTATATAGATCTATATAGATCTATATATATATCTACAGTAGCTATATATATATCTACAGTAGCTATATATATATCTACAGTAGCTATATATATATCTACAGTAGCTATATATATAT